CTCTCACACACACACACACACACACACACACACGAGTCCAATTCAACAAACATTTAACAAGCTATAAGCAAAGCAAATGGAAAAACTTGGTTCAAGATTAACCTTCTTGCTGTTCCACCAGACTGTATCTTCCCCTCAAGCTATTGTCCTATATAGCTCCTATTTGCAGCCAGACTCCTGGGGAAAGCTGTCTATACTGGGTTTGTTTGGTTTTTTTACTTCTTTCTCCTCTACCCTTTGTAACCTGGTTTTTAGTCTCACCTCTCAGTTAAAACTGTTTTGTCCAAAGTTACCAACGCTTTCTTAATTGTCAAATCAGGTGCATCTTTCTCCATCCTATGCTTCTCAACCTTTTTGCAGTATCATATTCTGCTGATCACTCTACCCAGATACTCTCTCCCCTGTATTTTCATAACGCTACTCTTTTTTGGATCTCCTACCTCTATTAGTCTCTTTTATTGAGTCGTCATTGATACCCTGCCTCGTAACAATGGATGTTCCTCAAAGTTTTGTCCTACTTTTGTCTTCTCTCTCTAAACTCTCTTAGTTCATGACCTCTTCATCTTCCATGAATTTAATTATAATCTCAATACAAGTGATTCTCAGATCTATATACCCAGCATTAGTCTCTCTTCCGATCTCCACTTACACATCTCCAAATTTCTATTGAACAATTTAAACTAGATTTCCCATAGGTATTTCAAATTCAACAAATTTTAAATAGAACTCATTATATTTCCCCCCCAAACCCAAAACTCCTCTGACTCCCTACATCTTTCTAGGACACCCTTCACAACCTCAATGTGATCCTTGAATCCTTACTCTCTCTTAGCAATTCCTTTTAAAGTGCCTTCACTTTGTTGATTATTTCCATTTTATACTATATATAGCTTATTTGTATAGCATCATTTACCTGTTATCTCTCCCATTTGACTATTTGGTCTTTTACCTTTCTTTGTATTCTTGGCTGTGATCCCAGCTCTTTTGCCTTCCAGAAAATCGTATTCCAAGCTCTCCACTCCTTTAACGTGTTAGATGCTAAATCTCATGTGATCTTGACTGTGGCTCCATGGTATTTGGATGATTTCTTTCTAGCTGCTTAAAATATTTTCTCTTTAACATGGGAGCTCTGGAATTTAGCTATAATATTCCTGGGAGTGTTCATTTTGAAATGTCTTTCAGGAGACAATTAGTATATTCTTTCAATTTCTATTTTCCTTCCTGGTTCTAAGATACCAGGGCAGTTTTCCTTAATAATTTCCTGAAATATGATATCTAAGCTCTTTCCTTAATCATGGTTTTCAAGTAGTTCAATAATTCTCAAATTAACTCTTCCCAATCTGTTTTCCAGATCAGTTGTTCTTCTGATGAGATATTTTACATTTTCTTCTACTTTTTCATCCTTTTCACTTTTTTTCTCATTTCTTGATGTCTCATGGAGTTATTACCTTCCACTTGCCCAATTCTAATTTTTAAGGAATTATTTTCTTCAATGAGCTTTTCTACCTCTTTTTCCATTTGGCCAATTCGGTTTCTGTTTCTTAAACTTCTTAAGGTTTCTTAACGTTATTTTCTTCAGTACTTTTATGCCTTGATATTAATGGCCTTTCTTAATTTTCTTCCTTTGCTCTCATTTATTTATCTAATTTTTCCACTACTTTTTTCTTTGATTTTGAAAATCATCTTTAGCTCTTCCAGGAATTCCTTCTGAGCTTCTGTCCACTTCACACTTTTTCTTCACGACTTTGCTTGTAGCTGTTTTGACTTCATTGTCTTCTCTTTTTTTTAATTTTAGTAATTTATTTTGATTTATCAACAGTCACTTCCATATGCTTTTGAGTTGAAAATTTTTCTCCCCCTTCCTCCCCTCCATCCTCCCCAAGATGGCGCACAATCTGATATAGGTTTTACATTTACATACCCATGAAATATATTTTCACATTAGTGAAGTTGTAAGTAAAAATTGAAACCAATAGGAGGAACCATCAGAAAGATGAAACAAAACTCAACAGAAGGTAAAAATAAGTGATAGCAATTTGACTTTCATAGTTCTTTCTTTGGATGTGGACAACATTTTCCACCCCGAGGCCTCTGAAGATGATCATTTTCTTCTTTTGAGTTTGTGTCTTGATCTTCCCAGTCACCATAGTAGATTTTTATGGTCAGGTTCTTTTTCTGTTTGCCCATTTTTTCCAACCCATTTCTTGATTTTCAACTTTATGTTAAAGTTGGGTTCTGTTCCCGGGGGGAGGGGTGGCACAGGGAGGCAGTGAGTCACTGTTTCAAGCTTCAGGTTTTTTCACACTGATGTATTCATAGCTAGTTCCAGAAGGTTGGAATTTTTGGTGCTCCCAAGGTGGTGTGATCCTAGGAGAGGTGTGGTCATTACTCTTCTGGTCTGCATTCTAGTGACCAAAAGTGATACTGCTCCTCAGGGTTCTCACTCCCTCTTGACCAAAACTGTTCCTCTCTGCCCAGAAGTGGGTCTAGGCAATGGAGTTGCCAAACAGCATCTGGTCCTACATCCAGTGATAGCACAGAGATTCCCTATAATCTCTTTCTGACCAGTTGCCAGTTCCCCTTACCATCTCAAGTTTGAGAGCTCCCAAAGTTGCTGTTGCTTTTGTCACCACCACCAGGTCCCACCACTGGTATCTCATCCATGTGGACTTTGAGTCAGCCTCTACCACCGTGTCACAAATCTCTTTGACCTCCTAAGTTATCTTACCCTTTTCTTGGCTCTGCCACTCCAGAATTCAATTTGAGAAATTATTTTAAAGTTTTTTGGAAGGGAATGTTGGGAGAGTTCAGTTGAGTGCTTTCTTTACTCCGCCATCTTGGCTCTGACCCAGAATCCCCTGGTAACTCTCTAAGAAAGAAGAGTTGCTGATAGTATAACCTAGCCTAGAGTATGTGCTAAATAGGTCAAGGTTTGCCAGAATCCCAAGCCCACCCTCCATGAACACCTATAGTGGAATGATTTTTCAAACCAGTTGTCCATACCAATAATATCACAGGTATGGACCAAATATGTATGTTTATATATATATATGGGCATATATGAACTTTTAATATTTTGATAACCGTATTTCAAAATAACTAGCTTCCTTTGTAATACCATGTATTTTATATTATGCATTTAAAAACCTTCCAAAGAGGGCCAGTAGGCTTCCCCAGACTGCCCAAGGGGTCTGTGACACCAAAAAGGTTAAAAAAAAAAAAACCGGCCTCAACTAGGATCCAGTTCCTGGAACTCTCAAACTCCTGATACTCTTGAACTTGGAGTCACCCACCAGGAAACTCAACGTTTTCACTATCCCAGAAATCTCCTTTCTTCACTAAAAGTCTGGATTCCAGTAACATACTACCTAGGAAATTAAGACTCTCCTCTCCTCTCCACAGGTGGTTGGAATTTGGTGAGCAACATCCTTGAATTTCCCTCTCGGTCTCATTTCTTCCTGAACCCTCCTTTCATTTACTACACTCCCCAAGAGACACACACAAGTCCTCAGAGCTTCCTCCAGAGAGGACTTCTCAAAATGGCTATTTCCTCCACTGACTCAGTTCCCTATTTTTAAACTCTCAGTGTTTCCAGTTCACTCATTATCAATGAGTGGGCAGTCCCAATGAGTGACTAGAGAAAAGACCCACTGAAAGAGTGCCAAGAGGCCAAGAGACATACTCACTATAAAAACACACATACACACATGTGTGTATGTATGTGTACATATATGTGTGTGTTTATAAATATGTGGAGGGTATATAGAGATGCAAAGCATTGTGCTAAAAAAAATAAATAAAAATAAAATGGAGTGGTATGAGATCAAAATAAATAAATATATAAATAAACTCCTGATTCCATGGTTAAAAAAAAAAAAAGATCATGCTAGACACTAGGGAGACAAAAAACAGAAACAAAGCAAAAATTCCTGCTCTCAAGGCATTTACATTCTATATTCTTCTAGGTCAAGCTATACTCCTGTGTTCCAGGAAAAGGAATGTGGGGGATTGAGTGGATGAAAGGAGGGGGACAAATATGAGGTAGGGATTTCTAGGAAATTTCCTCAGTCACTCCTAGCTCCTGATTTACAATTTGTGTAAGTCAGTTTCCTCATGTGTAAACAAAAGAGATAGAGAGACAGACAGAGACAGAGAGGTACAGAGAGATAATGAACTAAATCTCCAGCATCCCTTCCAGCTCTTAAATTCTATAAATTTATGAATCTATGTCACTACCTGTGCCTCAAACAATATTTATTCCCTTCCCTGAGGTACAGGTATGTCAGGTACCTTAGCTGGAATGAGGAATGAAGCCATAGAAACAGAAGTTCCTAAAAGGACTAACTATATTTCACTGCCTTCCACACCCAGCCATCCTGTAAATATGTGTCCTTGGTCACAAGGAGACCAGGTAAAAATCCGGATAGCTCCGTGCAGGCATCCTCCAGTCTAGAAAAGTAACTAAAACTACATATCCTGACATTCATTCAATATAATTGCATCTAACAGTGTCTTTATTAAGACATAAGATGCTGTTCCTTTTACACTGGAGAGGCAAAAACAAATTTTTTTTAAATTGCCCTCAAGGAACTTACATTCTACTATTTGTAATAGTAACTTACATTTCTATAGAGCATTAAGCACATTTCATGTTTGAAGGATAAGATATTTGGATGTCTGAGAAATGTCCTTAATTGCCTATGAGCTCCTTAGGAAAAAGATGGCTTTGAGCCTCACCTGCCCCTTCCTACCCTCTTCCACCCTACCCCCCATCAGTATTCACTACCCCAGACTGCCAGTCTCCAGTCGGGCCCCGGGGCTTTGTGGGGTACTTTGTCTTTGCAGAGTAGCTTCTAGCTGGGTTTTTTTAAAAATTCCATTATGTCTCTTCATTGCTTGGGAAGTTATAATCTTGAGTCTGCAGCTTCATAATGCGTTGCCATGGAAATGAGTTTTCTGTCATAAATAAAAGTATTCTGGGGTCAGAAGATCTCCAGCATAACTAGGACAGATTTTGAGGGGGAAAATGCCAGAATTTTTGAAACAAGATGACTTTGCTTCTTTTTCTGTAAGGTATTTTTTTCCAGTCTGTATTATAAATTAGGCACGGGGTTAGGGGTAGGGAGGGGGAGATTCCTTTAAAAAATCAATTTGTTCCTCTTACTCTCAATAGCTCTAAACTAAGACTGACATGTTGTTTCATCTTTCCTTTGTCTTCATTCCCCCCAATCAAGATTCTGGGCCCACCCCAATCACAGGCCTGGTCCCTTCCAGGAAAGTCTTCTTCATTCTTTTCCCTTCTCACCAGTGTGACCTGGGACAATTCCTTTCACCCATCTGTGCCTCAGTTGCCTCATTTGTAAAATGAGGGCATCGTTAGACTAGATGACCTTTAGGGTCCCATCAAGTTCTAAATCTATAACCCGATGATCGTCCTGACTCTGCCCCACCTGCACACACATAAACCTTTGCCCTCCTTTGTCCTAGCCATAAACACAAAATTCACCAGGTTTGCCTAGTATCTGAAATCTGGTCACTTTTGTTCAAACATTCCCAGGTCTGGGTCTTGTACTACTGGTATAACCAGAGACACAAGGACCACTCCTCAGGTGGGATCCAAGACCGTTTTGACCTCTTTACAGGATAACTCTTGGGCCTCTTCTTATCCCATTCTTTATAGCATACACCACAAGGGGGTCTAGAAAAGAAATAAATATTAAGAGTTTGGTTCCATTCCAACTTTTCACTGTGAAACAGCAATGTTACTTAATATCTTATTTTGTGTCTTGTGAAAACCTTACTCTACACCCCAAATCAGGATCCCCCCAAACTAAAAGCTTCTTAGTTATGATACCTTTCTCTCTGTTTGGAAGCGACTAGGTGGTTCAGTGGACAGAGCACTAACAGTCCCAAATTGATAAGCACCATCTTTCTATTATCAAGGACAAGAATAATCCTGCTGTAAACACTCATGGGTCACCAGCTTCCGTCTCTGAAAACTAAGTCAGGAAATATTCTAACCTTCTGATCACTTCTTTCTAGCCTGGGGTCCAAGTGAGACAATAAATAATATCAGTCTTCTCAGTCTTTTTCCATTCTCAGATGGACCCATAAGTACCTAGTTCTTCAGAGCTTTTTATTTCATTGAGAAAATAAAATATTGTATAGCTCTTTCACATGTATCTCTAATCAAATGCCAAAGACTAAGATACTATGAGTTTTGTTGTTGTTTTTCAGCTATTTCAGTCATGTCTGACTCTTCTGTGACTCCATTTGGGGTTTTCTCGGCTAAGATACTGGGAAAGGTTTGCCATTTCCTTCTGCAACTCACTTTACAGATAAGGAAACTGAGGCAAACAAGGTTAGTAACTTGCCCAGGGTCACATAGCTAATAAATGTCTGAGATTGGATTTGAACTCAGGAAGATGAGTCCTCCTGATTCCAGACCTGGCACTCTATCCGTTGAACCACGTGGCTGCCCAATATAAGGGAGAGTATTCCCCACTTTGGAAGGTTGTTTAGTACTTTGGATCTTGCTATATTTTCAGTAAACATCCCTTCATAAAATCTATCTGACATCCATTGGTTAAATGAGTTTGGGGCACTAAAGCACCAGATCAATCAATAATATCTAGGTGAAAATTAATTATATTATACTGTGATTCACATTGAGGAAAACACATGGAATGGGGGTCCAAGTCAGTAACATTAGAAGGATCAATCCCTGCCCATTAATTGGGGAATGGCCAGACAAGTTATGCTAGATGTATGTGATGGAATGTTATTGTTCTGTAAGAAATGATGGAGATGGTTTTAGAAAAACCTGGGAAGATTGTATGAACTTGTATGAACACAGTGAAGTGAGAACCAGGAGAATAATTTATACAATGACAATAATACCGTAAGGACAAAATAACTTTAAGAGACTTAGAAACTCTGATCAACACAGCAAAACCAACATAGTTCCAGAGGACTCATGATGAAATATGCTATATGGATAAAGAAGTGATGGACTTAGTGTAGATTGTTGTATATACTTGTGTGTACGTATGTGTAAATATGTGTGCTTATGTGTGGTATATGTCTATACATACATACATGTGTGCACATACATACACACAGGGGTGTGTGTGTGTGTATGTATATGTATATATATATATATATATATATATATATCCCTAACCATATATATGTATGTGTATGGAAGTCTATAAATATATGCATACATTGTTTATGTATGTGTATATGAACATGGCTAATGTGGGAATTTATTTTGCTTGACTATATATAGTCATATAAGGGGGGAAGGATATACCTAGGTGGTTCAATGGAAGGAGGGCTACCCCTGGAATCAGGAAGACCTGTGTTCAAATTTGGCCTCAGACATTTACTAGCTATGTGAACTTTGGGCCTCTTAATCTTTATTTGCCTCAGTTTCCTCAACTGAAAAATGGGAACAATAATAGCACCTATCTCTTAGGGTTGTTATGAGGATCAAATGAAATAATAATTGTACAGTTATCCCTTCCACTTCATGGGAGTTAGGAGCATGGCACCCCCAAAATCTGGAAAATCTGCGTAAAAATTTTTTGGCCCCCTTTTTGTACCAGAGAAAAAGTCTGAATGTTTTTCTTTCTCTTTTATGGGGTATTTACAGTACTTATTATAAAATTTGGGTTGGTAAATGCAATACATATATTTTATGCATTTGAGTTTCTAAACTTTTTCTGCATCGTCTACTGGCTTTCATGACTGAAAGAGCTGAACAGCAACAAAACTCATAGTATCTCACTCTCTGGAATTTGATTACATATACACATGAAAGAGCTATACAATGTTTTATCTTCTCAATGAAATAAAAAGCTCTTTGAGGGTAGAGACCTATGGCTTCCGCAAAACTCACAAAAAAAAATCCCCATTTAATTTCTTATGCCGACACTTGTTATATAGCAAAACCCCAATAGCGAAAGTAGCCATGGAAGGGAAACCACAAAACATTTAACATAGTGCGTGGTACATGGTGAGCGCTACATAAATGTCAGCTAGTAGTAGCAGTGTTGGTAGTAGTAGGAGGAGGAGGAGGAGTAACAGGCTTTGTTTTTTTCTTTTTCAATGGGTAGAGAAGGAGAAAGTGGAAGAAATAGAATTTAAAACTGAAAATAAAATAGAATTCTTTAAAAAGGAAAAATCACCACCCATTACCTCTTCAGGAGTACCCCTAGGACCCCAAAAGAGAGATGTATCTAGCTGACTTGAGGACATGCCTTGCTAGCGAGAAAGAGAGTAGACACAAGCCTCTCCAGGGTCTTTACCTCTATATGCATGTATACATACACATGTATACATGTATAATGTATATATGTGTGTATATGCCTGGAAATATATGTGCATGCATGTATGTATATTTATGTGTATATATACCATATGTATTTGGAAAGAGTCCTTCTAAGCTTTTCTATCTGTTAATTTCTTATTTTCTCCTCAGCCTTTATACCACAACACACATATACAGACATCCACACACATGAATATCTCTCTAATCCAATTTCTCCACCATTTTGGTTTTTTTAGTTAAGATTGAATTGCCCTTGCCCAGCAAAAACCTGACCCAAATCAATGCACAATAAGAGTAAAAACATGTAATTGCATCTTTATATAAAAGCAGCCTTGAAAGCCATCTCAACAATTTATCATTTAGTTCTTAGAGTGAATTAAGTCTCCCTTGCTCAAAGAGATTTTAAGGGTGGTCTGTTTTACTTAGAGGACTTCTATGACCTGAATCCATTCTGGCTTTTAATGTCCCAGCCATTAATAGGAAGTTAGCATTAGAGATTTTCCTTTGTTTGGAGTCTCAATAGGTCAGAGTTTAAAAAGGTGGCCAGAGAAGGGCATGGAGCTGGGAGAGAAAGGTATGCACTGCTGAGCTCCCATTTGAAAACCACTGAATCAGAAATAAGTAACATTAAAACACTCTAAAATGGTATTTACAAAGCACCCTACAGTTGGGCCCCACTAAGTATTATGTAAACACTAAAAAAGCTGCTACCAGCAGGCTTGGGGGGCAAACAACCCAGTGTATTTAAACAGCTTATACAAAGATGTTAACATGTTGCTAGGGAAGCAGAGAGGCCTCTTCCCATTCTGAGTGACCTCGATCCTTGCAGGAGGCTACAATAGTGTCACTCATCCTTGGAGCCAGTTTTCTTTCACCTCCCTCCAGCACCCCACAAATGGCAAGTCTTTCAGTGCCCTCATTCAAATCCCTCTGCAGATCAAAGCATCATAAATTCAAAGATCTAGAGTTGACATGGACCCCAGAGGACAACTCCCTCGTTTTACAGATACAGGAAACAGAGGTGCAGTGATGGCACCGTAGGGGTAAAAAACAAGTGCCCGGAATCCTCTATTCCTTCTCCAAGATGATGGAAGCTTCTGGGTTTTAGTAGTGGAGCTAGGATAAGTGCTACTACACAACCAGAACCATTGGAAGCCAAGAAGACTAGCTCTTAAATAAGGCAATTCATTGACTGCTAATGAGCTGGGACACTTTGTTCTCATTTGCTCAAAACCCTGGGTTAAAAATCAACACCTTCTTTGACCCAGAGATTTCAGAGGTAGGGTTGTACCCCAAGAAGGTCAAACATGGAAAGAAAGGTCTCATATATTCATGAGCAAAATATTTATGACAGTAATTTTTGGAGTACTCGAAAACTAAAAACTGTAGATACCCACCAAATGGAGAATGGCCTAACTTCTAATACATGAAGGTAATGGAATATTACCACGCTTGAAAATATTAATATGAAGAACATATTAAAGTTTCACATGCAATTCTCTACTCCTGTTCCACTATGTATATGGAAATGCTCATTCTATTTGGCATTTGTTAATTCAGAATAAAATATATTTCATAAAAGATAAAATACATATAAATATATAATAATATATAATAATATTTTAAATGAATATAGAAAATCATGGGAAGAATTATATGAACTGATGCAAAGTGAATTAAATCAAATCATGAAAACACATATGCAGTAATTACCACAAGAGAAATAGAAAGAACAACAAAAACCATATAATTATAATGACCAGACTTGGCACTGAAGAAACAAGGATTACATACATCTCCTCCCTTCTTTGCAGAGGTGGGGACTGTGGGTATAGAACATTTCACATAGTATAAGTCTTAGCTGATGTGTCAGTTACAAAGAACTGCTTTTTTTTCTACTTTTTAAATTTTTTGTTACAAGGTTTGGCTCTCTGGAGGAGGGGAAGCAAGGAAGAGGGATATTTGTGAAAATTAAGGTAATACAGAAAAAAAGATGTCAATAAAAAGTATTTTTTGGAAACTTGCTAAATATTGGTATAGCATACCACAAGCCCTCAGGAGGGGACTGGCTGGAAGTCCTTAATTATGATGTGTTATAATTATAAATTCCCACCAGGAAAGATCCCTCTCCTTTCATTGCATACACAGCAATCTTGTTCTGGAGGCCAGACGGTTTCTTCTCTATCCTTCATAGCACTGAGTATACCATAAGCACCTAACATATGCTTATTGAATTGAGGCATTTCTTTTTTCTATAACTTTCCATTTCTATTTCTATTTCCGTTTCTATTCTTTCCAGCTGTACATCTATCACCATCAGAAGCAAACACATCTGGGCCATTTCTGAAGAATGAATCAAGTCTTTTCAGACCAAAGAAAAGGTAAAGCAGAGACATCATTTCATCCTTATGCAGCAGACAACCTGGCAGTAAAACATCAAATTCAGGTCAGTGAGAACATGGTATCCCCGGGGAAGGCAAGGTACAAATATTCTTCAAATCTTTCCCTTGCGCTTTTTAGTTCATCCAGTTCTTACAATAATGCTTTGGCCTTCATTTTGTTAATCTTTAAATTACAGATGCCTGTCCTAACTGCCCAGAGAGCTTTAAAATGCCTTGCACATAGTAGGTACTTAATAAATATTTATTCAATTGAATCAAATCAAATCTAGCGTGCTAGCCTCAGCTCAACCACCAACTTGTAACCTCTGAGTCCAGAAGGGTAGCGTAGCATAGCACAGCATAGCAGTTAGTAGGCTGGCCTTGAAGTCAGAAAGACCTGGGTCCAGGTCCCACTTTTGACACATATTAGGCCTTGTGGTCAAGGCCAGTCATTTGACCTCTCAGTGCCTCCCCCTGCCCACAACTCCCTAAAATTGTGAATTGCAAAGTATTTAGATCAGTCTTTCTTCTCCATACCCACCCAAGATCACTGAAATCACCAGCACTGATCTGCTATCTTGGAATACCGAATCCTAAGGCTGTCAGAGCTAGATCTGCTGAGACCACATGGGGCAACCCATTCATTCACCCAGCGGAGGGAAGAAACTAAAGTCTTGGTAGTGAAGAGACTTCATCAAGGTTACACAGCAGGGTTCTTTCCACTACAAAAGGGTCCATCTGAGCCCAAAGTTTTTCTTATTCTCCTGTCAGATTTCTCTCTCAACTTTTATATGAAACTAAGCTAATTTCCTCCAGCAGTTCCCCTTAGTGGATTACACACATGGGAAACTGTGAAATCGTCTTGCCCTCAAAATTCAAATTTTACTTTATTGTGTTATTTTATAATGTTTTATTAATTTGGATTTTGTTTGGTTGTCATTTTGTTGTCATCTGCCATACTCAGTGCACACACAGAACCTTCCATTAAAACAAAGAGAAACACCTAAACAAAACAAAAAACCAAATCAGCCATATCTGACAGCACATACAACATTCCATATCCATAGACCTCCACCTCCTTAGCAGAAGGAAAGAAATGGATTTTATCCTAAGTCTTCTGAACTTCATATTGGTTATTGCACGAATCTGACTTACACTCTTATTTTCCTTTACGTTATTGTGGTGACTATCTATGTGGTTCTCCTGATCCTGCTTTCTTTGTTCTCAATCAGTTCACTCTAGCCTTGCCAAGTTTCTCTGAATTCCTCACGGTTGTCATTTTTTACAGCACAATGTAGCTCAGTGAATAAAGTGCTGGGCATGAAGTCAGGAAGACCTGAGTTCAAATCTGGCCTCAGACACTTTCTAGCTGTGTGATCTTGGGCAAGTTACCCTGTTTGCCTCAGTTTCCTCATCTGTAAAATGAGCTGGAGAAGAAAATGGAAAACCACACCAGCATCTTTGCCAAGAACACCCCAAGTAGGATCTGAAGAGTTGGACACAACTGAACAACAGCACAATAAATTCTACTAAATCCATATGCCACAATTTGTTTGGTCATTGCCCAGTTGATGGGCAACCATTTTGCTTCCATCTTTTTGCTGCCACAAAAAATGTTTCTATGACCATTTCAGTGTATATGGGACCTATCCCTCTGTCTTTATCTCTTTGAAGTATATACCCAGTAAGTGGAATGCTGGGTCAGTTGGGTTTTTTTACTCCATGGAGACTAAAGTGAAATGTTCCTTAACCAAGGGTGGATCCCTTCTCTGGACTCAAATGGAATGAATTCAATCTGCATCTAGTGGCTAGGAAATCAGTAACAACCCGGGGAGTTACTCTCCCTAATTTGTGCTGTGGGATAATTTGGAAACAAGAAGAGCTCTTGGCAATGGCCCCTTCAATTCTTCAAAGAGTAATGAAATACTTCATGGGGGCTAGTCCTTCCAGTCAGATAGTCAGTCAGTAAACATTTATTATGTGCCAGGTACTAGGATAAACAAAGGGAATACAAACCCTGCCTTTAAAAACTCACAATCTAATGGGGGAGAAAACATGAAAGCAATTATACATAAACAAGCTGTATACAGGATAAAAAGGAAATAACCCACCTAGAGAAGGTACTAGAATTAAGAAGGACTGGTGAAGACCGCTGGTAAAAGGTGAGCTGTTAGCCGGGAACTCAGAAGAAATCAGGAAAGCAGGAGCCTGGGGGACAGTGAGAGAAAATGCCCAGTAAATAGACAGAATGTATTATTCAAGGAACAGAAAGGAGTATCTTTCACAGTATTTTGTGAGGAAGTTGGCAATGTAAGGTGAGACTAGAAATATAAGAAGTTATGAAGGGCTTGGAAGGCCAAAATGGATTTTATATCTTATCCTGGAAGTGGTAGGGTATCATTGGAGTAGCGGGGTGACGTGGTAGGACCTGTGCTTTAGGAAAATCACTTTGGCAGCCAAGTGGAGGGTAGACTAGAGTAGGGAAAGCCCCATGGCAGACAGACCAACCAGCAGGCTATCGAAATATGCCAAGCATTATGAGGGAGAAGCCTACACCATGGTGGGGGAAACATCAGAGGAGAAGAGGGGTATTATTTGAGAGATGTTGCACAGGTAAAAATCAACAGCCCTTAGCAATAGATTGTTGTGAGGGGTGAGAAACAGTGAGTAGTTGAGGAAAGCACCTAGATTTAGAGCCTGGGGTACTAGAAGGATGGTGGTGCCCTGCGAAGCAATAGAGAAGTCTGAAAAGGGAGAGGGTTTGAGGGGAAAGATAATGAGTTCAGTTTTGGATATGCTGAGTTTAAGATATCTGTAGGCCATCTAGTTCAAGATGTCTAATAGCTACTTTGGAGATGCAAAATTAGAGTGTAGCTGAGGTTAGGAGTAGATAAGTAGACTTGATATGACAAATGAATCTATGGGAGCTGATGAGATCCCCAAGGGAGGGAGGGAGAAGAGAAGAAGGTCCAGGACAGAGCCCTCTGAGATACTTATATTTAGAGAGCATGAGCTGGAGGAGGACCCAGCAAAGAAAGAGAAGGAGTGGTCTGATAGGCAGGAAAAGAACCAGGGCAGAGTGAACCCCAAAAACCTAGAGGAAAGAGAGTATCAGGGCAGCTAGGTGGCACAGTGGATAGAGCTCTGGCCTTGGATCAGGAGGACCCAAGTTCAAATCTTGATACTTACTAGCTTTGTGACCCTGGGCAAGTCACTTAACCCCAATTGCCTCACCAAAAAAGGGAAAAAACAAAAACAGTAATAAGCACAGAAATAAAAGGATCCTTTAAAAAAAAAAGAGAGAGAGAGAGAGAGATTATCAGGAGGAGAGAGTGATCAATGGTGTCAAAGGCTACAGAGAGGTCAAGAAAGATGAACACTGAAAAAAGGCCATGGAGAGAAGAGATTAAGATCTCCATTTTAAGAAGTTCTCTTCGTGTCTTGCTGTAGCTGAAAAAGAAATCGTTGCCTGATGGCCAGTCTTCTAGTAATAAACCCCTTTAAACTTGAGTGGGCTTGAGTCCAGACAATGGGCATGCCATCCATCACTGGGACTGTCCTCAAAGTCTTTCCGCAGATTTGGACCAGCCCCAGGCGACATGCTGCTAGCATGTCCTTTTAGAGCCCACCAATCATGAGGCCATAATGAAGGAGGAAGACTTTAGTGCAATGATATATCCAAAGTGGGGTACGTGCACTCCCAGGGGTTAGTATGAGGATCAGTAAGAGTACATGATGAAAATAAGGGCCAGTGCCTCCCTGCTCCAGCATGGCGGTTTCTGAAGTGGGCCACTCTATCAAGATCCACTGCAGTTATTCTTCTCTTCTTCCCCATATCCCTCCAAGGAGTAGGGGTAGTTACAGAGGAAGGTCCCTGAGGCTTCAGTAACGTGCAGGCTAAGCTAAGGGTCGGGGGCCTGGGACCTGGTCGGAGAAGAATAGTGGACTCACCCTTCTAGCAACAGGGGAAAACCCTGGTAAAGAAAATGCACAGGCATTTTCTTGCATCATTGGCTCAGGTAGATGGAGGATTCAATGACCCAAATAGAGCAGTTCCTTTTTATTCAGACTGCCATTAGGTATCCAGCCTAGATGGGGAAGGGCAGATGAAAGGAGCAAGCATTTCTTAAGTGTCTACTATATGCCAGACACTGTACCAACGCTTCATAAATGATATCTTATTTGATCTTCACAACAAACCTGGAAGGCAGGTGCTTTTATTATCCTCATTTTTACAGCTGAGGAAACTGAAGCAAGCAGAGATTAAATGACTTGCCCAGAGTCACACAGCTAGTAAGGGTCTGAGGCCACATTTGAACTCAGGTCTCCTGATGCTAGGCCCTTCACTCTATCCACCCTGTGCCACCTAATCAACTACCTGGGGAGCAGGCATCTGTTGCATCTATCAGCACTTCTTAAACTGTGGGTTGAGACCCATACGGAGTCACGAAAAATTTGACAACAGTAGAAGGTTTCTGAATATACAACAATTAAAAATTAATTAAAAATCAAATGCTTAATGAATCCGAGGTGTTTCTGGCTGCCTTGCCTGCATTGCATCATGCAACTTCACTTTAGCCTTGGTTCTGAACACAAAGCATGCGCACTTTGCACTGCACATGCCCTCAGGCCACACCAAGGAACACTGCCCAATGGAGCTCATGAGCTGAAAAAGTTTAAGAAGCCTTGGCATATACTACCTGGATGAACACCATTTCGTATAGTTCTTCTTGGCTGGGTTTAGACAGCAGTCACTGCTAGAACTGAAACTGAATGAGAAACCCATTGTCTGCCCTGACTTTCTGTATAAAAACTTGCAGAAACTCCTTTTCTTCTACAAGAGGACAAGGGTCCATAGGGTGTTTACTATGTGTCAGAGCAGAACTAAGTCCAGGAGTTACAAAGACAAAAGAGAAACAGTTCCTGCCCATGAAGAGTTTACAATTTAACCTAGGGAAATTTGTAGACATACAGGCCTACACATATTACAAACAAGATAATTGGAGGGGAAGGAGAGGGAACAGGAAGCCATGAGCATCCAGTGGGACTCAGAAAATTCTTTATC